TCCTTTGATGGTATAAAGTCATTTGCATAGAGCTGCTGTGTCACGACTTCTGGCAAGACTGATTCTAATAGCGCGTAACATTGGAGGACCGCTGGACATGAAGGGTCATTCTGGTAGTGGTCGTCCACTGGGCATTTTCCTCTTCTTTTATTGACATGGAGTGTGATTGTGCTGTTAACAGGAGTGTTTTTTTCTTCGATTTTCCCTTGCAAGAGACGATGCAGTTCCGTATGTTGGGAGAGGGGATGGCTCAGGGTTCTTCTGTAACACTTTTCTCTAGAGTTAGCAGTCAAACCCTTTTCAATGGAAATGGCTTGCTTTTTTGCTTAATTTGTTATTTCTGTCATTATTTATTGGTGGGACATATTTCGGGCTGTAACCTGTTTTGAATTCTCATTGCCATTTGTGGTTCTCAAAGGTGATTGTAGGTTCTGGAGCTGTTAGTGCACAGGACTGTGTTTATTGGAGTTCTCCTGCTGCTGGACACGAGGCATTCGTTGCTTGTGACCTTCTGTTCCAGACAGACATCAGTGCCTCTTTTGATTTCCCACATCAGACTATTGACTCTACAAATCCTGTTAGTTGATGGTGTGCTGCATTTCCAGGTGGGAGTGCAGAATGTCTGGAAGTCACAAAGGCTTGGTCTTGAGGCAACAGTCCAGCACGTAGCATTCACCATCATTGGCCCTGACTGTGTTGTTATCAGTTACAGTTTCTTTTCAAAAATTCTGTCCTCTTCTTTTTTCATTGTTCTTTGAAGGAGATGTGATACAAGGTGACAGTTGTGTCTGCATAGTTTTCTGATTGTAGACTCGTGTTTTGGCAGGATGTATTGAACCTCTTTTGGTGTTTCTTTAGTATTTGCATCTCTAGCTGTACCTTCACAAAGCACCTGTGCCATTTTTGAAGTCAAAAGTGAAAAGGGCATCCTTGGATACCCACCTATACACTTCAGATGAAACATAAAGATGCCTTGCTCATTAATATTAGAAATTCCTTTTGCCTAGCTCTGTGTAATGACTCCATCTGAATTTGCAGAAGCATTGCAAAACATTGAGACTTATCTGTGGAATGTCAGCCAGGCACTGTGTATTTGACACTGTTTGGTGTGTTTGGACTTCTTGCTCTGATTGGTGGGATGGTTCAGGGAACAGCAGTGTCAATGCTGGATTGGGAAGGTGAGTAGAAGCTGCTTATCATCCGTATCCATTGTTCAGAGTGGGGTTTGGAGGTTACCAGAGGCCATAAGAAATGGGAGGCCTTCCAGACTTGGCAGTAGTTCATTTGTTGACATGACTACACTGCACTGTCTTTGGATGTTCTGAATACGTGTCTCTCTGTAGTCGTGAATCCCTTCTGCTCCTCTTTGCTTTCCTTAACTGTATGTAATTAATTCTGACATGTCTTTGTAATGGATCAGCGAGATCCCAGGGGAGTTCTGTGATGTCCTGTGTGTTTTGCCCTTGTGTGAGGCTGAATTTGAGTGAGGTGAGGCTGCTGAGGGCCTCATCTTTTCAAGGTCTGATTATGTCCAAAGAGGAGTATTCAACAGCATCCCTGTCCTGCTGTTCCATGGCTTACCCACTTCCACATTGATATTTCAAATTCTTTGGTCAAACTCTTTGTTTTCCTTCGTAGAATCATTCTGCACTGTAATCCTGTTTTGGAAGCGATGTGCAGTCTGGCCTTTCAGTCTTCTCTTTCTGAGCATGAATACTTGCTGCTCAAGTAGGAGATGTCACAAAGATGGAGCATCATGAAATGAAGTCCATTTTTTTCTTCCATATTATATGATGCTGTTTTCTTGTTGGCGGCCACACCTGTGAAGGTGTGTTTACTGCCCACATCTCTGCTTGTGGCAAATCATGCTGGTGTCTACCAAGTTTGTGTCATCAGAAACAGTGTCCTCCTTTTTACTGATCCTTCATAGAAATTGTCCTGATATGTGGATATCATTGGAATGTGGGTATTTCTTTTTACACTCTTCTCACTTTAATACCACAAGGAGTTTCTGGAGAGGGTGACATAGCACAAACCATATTCTGTGTTGTATTTCCATGAATGACATTAGCAATTTGAAACGGAGACTTATGGAATGACAAAGAGAGGTAGAACAAGTAATGAAAGATCAGTTTTTCCATGCTAGGCAAATGTTTGTTAAAGCGGGAAACTGTACAGGATGTTGCAGTGTTGTTTCAATATATGCTGTGGTGCCAGGCTTTCTTGGCTCCCATGAGTGCAGATAAAAACACTGATTATTTCTGTGTGCCTTAAAAACACGTTGTTGTAAAGCAGTGAGCAATTCCTCTCAAGAGATGCAGTCTCTTTCTTTGGCACCTGCCTGATGTAGGAAATATGTTTGGTACTGGGATGTGAGAAGCAGAATGCCGTCTACTTTCTGATGAATGTTTTCCTCAAGTATTGGGAAAGTTACTCACAGCTGTGCGCGTGCTAATGCTACATTCTGTAAGATGTCAGATGTTCTTCATCTTATAATTTCCACATGAGATTTCTTAGGAGATGCACCAAGGATGGCCTGGGTATTTGATCCTGGGGCTTTTTAGCAGTGAAGAGTCTTGTGTTAGGGTAATGATGATGCTTGGTAGATTAAATGGTAAATCGGTGGTCACTAGCTGTAAATGGTCGACTGGAGATACTACTTGCCATGGCCTGAGGTAGAGGTTGCAAGAATTAATTGTGGAGAAGAGACCAAGTACAGTGTGCAGCCTGACCTGCTTTCTCTGAAATCCTCCAAAAATTCAGTTGTTTGACCTTAGCATGAGAGCCTATGTATTGTTCCTTGTGGCAACACTTGTTCCTTGTCGTATGTTTGAAGTATCCATATCCTTTTTTCCGTGGACATTCCCTTTCGTTATGTAGAGGAAGAACCAGCAAGGAGAGCTGCACAACAGATATTGCCCTCCGTGGGACATGGGGAGGCCTTCCACTAAGTGACTGTTGAGAACAAGGCCATCTGTGAGATGTGATGAGTCTGTCTGGTGCCCTGACCAATCAGATTCTGTGTGTCCTCACTCGCTGTTGTACTTGTGGCATCCTGCTTGTGAAGCCATCTTTCATATGTGCCTTTATTTTCTCATGTTCCAACTTTTGGGGGTTGTTTCTCCTACAAGAGTTTTTCCCATTGTTGATGATTTTTGGCTGATTCCTCTGAAACCTCCCATTTGTCTTCTCTGTGCTCCTGTTCCTCCTTGGGATGGGAAGAAGTGTTCTTCTGTTTTAAGGATGTAGGCAAACTGTATGTTTAATTGAAGTGCAGTGGGATCTTTCAGCTTTCTCTTTCCTGTTTTATGAATCTAAATCTTTTCTTGTTTTGTTTTTTTTTCCTTCTCACATTGGAACTATGTTGGTGAGATGCAGTGTGCTGAGTTCTGACTGCTGTCAGATTGCACACCTTTGAGGAGCTGGCAATGACTGTGGGATCTGGATTTTCTACTTTAGTGATCTGAGGTTGTGATGAAGTGAATGTCATTAATTTTCAGGTCTCCCTGTTGTTTCCATTCTGATAGATGTGAGGCAGGGAATACTACACTCTAATGAGTGATCATGTACTTTTTCTTAACAAGCAGGCACTGCTACAGCATGCTATAGGTAAGTGTTTCATATTAAAAGAATATGTGTTCTATATGTAGCTGTATGTTTTGGTGCTGTTTAGTAGTGGTCTTTTCTTGTTGAATGGAATGAATACTTTTGGGGTATTTTCCTGAAGGTTTTAAGCTTCTGGCAGTCATGTGCATACCAGTGCAGGTAAGATACAAAGATGCAGGAGGAAGAAAAATTCCTGTTTAAATTCTGAATATGAACTCAGATGGTATAAACCAAACTGCACCGGCATCAAGGAATATGGATCTGGGCTCCAGACATTTTGCTGTTCCATGTAAGACTGACAGTCTTCCATATTTCAGAAGCAGATTTCCACATGAAACAGTGACAAGTTAAAGCATGAAAGCAAGGAGGACTGTAGGCCAAAGTGTGTTCCTTGATCCTGAACTGTGTTCCGTGTTTTTGAGCTGTAAGAAATGAAGATGCAAGTTGCTCTCTGCCTTGGCTGACTGTTGCTGTTGTGCAGTGCAGGTAGTGGTGAAAGCAAAGGGTGGCAGAGAAGAGCTGTGTAAAGTGGTGATGGATTTCTCCGTGTAGGTTAAGATGCACACCCTATTTTCAGGAACAGGGTGGAGCAGAAGAGTAGCATTTAACTGCTGAGTCCATAATTCCTGTCCACCAGCATGTCTGTAACAAATGGTAAGGACAAATATTTTTTTTAAAGTATGTCATAAAATGGAAAATCCAAAGACTTCAAACCCCAAAGTCGACCCTATCTTGTCGGAAGGAAGCATCTTGCCAGTAACAGAAATTGTTTGCTCTTCTGCCCACCCATGCTCAGCGCATCTCATCTCATCTCTGCTTGCAACGGTTTCCATCTGCAGGGGACTGAGGGCTGATGGCATTACCAGCAGTTCTCTCTCGGTTCATACCTTTTCCTCTAAGCACTTCACAACAAGGTCTCTGCGGCCTTGAACTGCCAGTCAAGGAAGTGGACAGAGAATCTCTCACAGAGGAAGCATCACTAAACTTCCCTGTTCCCACGGAGTGGAGTACTGGGGATGAGCCCATTGTCCAATATCAGTGCATACAAATCCATGGACCGTGATAGGATACACCCCAATATGTGAGACAGTTGGCAGAAGTGATAGCCAAACCACTCTCTCTCATGTTTGAAAAGTCTCCAGTCTTCTTCAGCATCCAGTCTTGTTCAGCATCTTCTTCAGTTACCTGGATGAAGGCATAGAGCTAGTTTGCTGATGATACAATGTTTCTGACAGACCAGAAGGCTGTTCTGCCATTCAACTAGGTGTAGACAAACTGGCATACTGGTCAGAGAGGAACATGATGAGATTCAACAAGAGGAAGTGCAGAATCTCACACTTGGGAAGAATAACCACATGCATCAATGCAGATTAGGGGATGACATTCTTGAGAGGAGCTCTGCAGAAGTCTGCAACCTCTGTCCTGGTGGCCAACAGGTCAGCTGCTGGCCATGAGCCAGCTGTATCCCTTTGTGGTGAAGAAGACCAACAGGATCCAGGGCAATGGGTCATATTAAAAGGAGAATGGCCAGCAGGTTGAGAGAGTAGATCTTCTCCTCTACTCTGCCCCAGTGAGGCCTTTTCCAGATCACCATATCCAGTTCTGGCTCCCCAGTTCAAAGACAGGATCTTGTAGGAAGAGTCTGGCAAAAAGTGACAAATTAAGGGCCAGGAGCATTGCTAGTGAAAGAAAGGCTGAAAGAGCTGTGTCTGTTCAGCATAGAGAAGAGAAGGCTGAAGGGGGATCTCATCACTGTTTATAAATATGTACCATGCATCAATCATGTCGATGGGGTGGACTGTTTTCATTGGTGACCAACGATGGAAGAAGTGAGAGTGGTAAAAAAGTGGAAAACAAGGAAGTATCATTTAAACAAAAGGATAAAATTATTTATTGTCATGCAGACAGAATTCTGAAACAGCCTGCCCAGAGAGTCTCTGGATTCTCCCTCTCTGAATTCAGGACATGCTTTAGCATGGGGAATGGAATAAGTGATGACTAGAGGTCTCTTACAATCCCTACAATTGTGTGATATTATAATTCTGTGACCACGAGTGGAAGAAGAGGAACTGTTTCCCACTTTCCTCTGTGTGCTCCATCCTTCTAAGACTTGTACCAAGAGCCTGTGAATCTCCCAATGTGCTTCCCAATGTGCTTGTCACAACTGACAGTTCAATTTAGTTTGTTGAAAGAAATGTCAAGAAAACACTTGAATAGAGCATTCTTTCAGAGAAATTTCAATTTTACCAGGACAATTTAAAGGGGGACTATACTGATCACAGTAATCGTACCATCTGTCCCAATACCGACAAATACATTCAATGCATTCCAAAGCACACCCATTTCAACTTGAAAATAAGTGTGAAAGATTACTTGGCGTCTCGTTACATTCCAACGGATGTGCACTTCTACTAAACGAGAACAACGAAAAATGCGGAGGATACGTCTAGTAAAAAAAGAAAAGAAAAAAAAAAGTTGATGCATAAGGAATTGGAAACGGAAATAAAGGCAGAGAGAATCGAGCACGGTAAGTGGAGAAGCACGAGACGCAATTCCTTCCACGAGCCACATGATGCCGCTCTGAGCTAAGGAACGCGCGATGCGATCGGGGAAAGGGAGGGGAACACCTTCC